GCGCGGCCATGAATGGAGAAGTGCAGTTGGCAATTCGTAGTAGACGGGTGCAGATCTCAACGGTTAAGGTAACAATGGGCAGCACAGGCATAGTTGTAGTGATGAGCTTTGGCCGGCAAGTGAACTTGTGTGTGTGTGTGTGTGTGTGTGTGTGCCACTGTGTATGATGGTTGCATGGTTCCTACTGCCAATTAGGTATGGATGCTGAGTATGGCAGAATCTGCTTCGTTTCTTGATAAAGCTATGGAGAACTTGCGCAGCAGGCAAGTCGCAACAGAAGTTGCTGATCAGGTATGCCTCGCAGCTTGTTGTCCCATCCTGGAATACCTTGCCTTGGACATGCTTCCTGTATTAACATTCCTCGTGATGTCTGGTGTGGTGAGGTGGTAAGTGAGGGCAATGCAAAATGATGACCAGATCTGGAACCTCAAATCGAAAGAACCATGCCAACAAGATTGCAGCGCAAAACACTATATTCACACCAGGAAGTTCTTGACTGAATCTGGTCATCACTGTCAAATACGTTTAGGAGAGTTCTGTTGCTTCTATGCCCGCAGTAGTGAAGTATCTTATCAGTAAACTTGGTTCATTCCTGTAAACCAGCTGGCTGGAAGTAACACAACTGCATGAAAAGAGTGCATTACGGCAGCAAGCCATACCAGCACTTAACTCGAAAGACTGACCATCATCCTCATACTCTGTTGCTCGGGTTCATCAGTCCTGAATTGAACGCTAATATAACTGTTGATATATTAAAAAAACTTACCATTCTAATACAATTCGAAAGACGACCAAACACGGACTGAGACACAGCTGATTTCTGAGTTTTGTTCATGGACTGAATGCCTTGCTGAGTTTCCCGCTTGCTATTAAGTTCTCTAAGTCTGTGTGTGTGCACGCTTGCTGGTCTGCATGTCTGTCTGAGTGGTTGTTGGCTTGAGTGTGTGTGTGACCGGCAAGGGCACTTGTTCGTTCGTTGGGCCCTCAGGGCCGATACTTACCTGTGGCAGTGGCATTGAGGATTGCAGCGGGGAAAACACTCAAGTGGCGGGGGAAGAGGCCCACAACACTTGAAGCAGCGGGGAAACACTCAAGTAGAAGGTAGGACGGTACCACACCCTGAAGAGGTAGATGTGCCGGGTACTCGAGGCCGAGCAGAAGAAGACAAAAGTTGGCATTTTTGAAGCCCAATAGTTGTAGGCTAGGTCTAGGCGGGTACCAGTCCAACCAGTCTGAGTCTACGGCCTGTACGAGCAATATCAGTCTGCAATGATGTTTCCCTCCAAAAGGGAGGAGGTACCGGTTGCTTGGAAGGCCGAGCTGCCTGGAAGTCACCGCCCAAGAGGCAAGCAGGCCGCTATATCTCCAGGCCGGGCGAAGAGCCCAGCCTCATTGTCGGTGTGCAAGTTTGGCGACACACTGGTTGGAGCNGCCGGGCGAAGAGCCCAGCCTCATTGTCGGTGTGCAAGTTTGGCGACACACTGGTTGGAGCGCTGGCTGGAGCAGCGCTAGCAAGAGCAGCGCTGTGGGGGAAGGAGCAAGGACACGGAGGAGGAAGAAGACCATGAGGAAGGGGAGCACCAGGGGTACTTACCAGGCTATGGTGGCAGCCATCTTCATCACCGTGGTGGGCGTTGCAGCAGGAAGGTCCCCGTGGGTGCAGAGCTACACCAAGAAGCTTCGAGGCAGAGTCAGGTGTGGCGGCCTGAGCTAGAGCAGCCATAGCTGCTTTGCGTTTTCCTTTGGACATCAGGGCAAGGTCCGAGCAGTCAGCCATAGCCTCGGCCTATGAGAGTGACGAGTGAGGGAGCCGGCCATTATGGTGGACGTCAAGTGATACCTACAGTAGAAGAGGGATTCAGACATTGGTTCTGGTTCAGCCATTCAACATTGTACTATTATTTCTTGTGTGAATAAGAGAGGAGTAAAGGAGGAGGAGAGTGTTTGGCGAAGAAGAAGAGCATTATCATTTGTCTATGCTGGTGTACATCATCTTCTTCTTCTTTCTTTCTTCTTCTTCTTCTTTACCTCTCTCTCCTCTCAAGTTCATTCATTTCTTTATGCAATTGGACGACATTGTACTATCTGATAAATGTGTACTTCGAAATTGGCCAGGATCATAACATTGGTATCAGAGCAGATTTTACTTTCTGGTTCGAGTTGACTTATCCACCCTAACCCTAACCTAAGTGGTAAGGGCTAACTACTTAGGGTTAGGGTTGGTCCGAAGTGGGAAGTGGGCCAATGTGGACTAGGGAAGCTGCCCCCACCTGGTTAGGTCATGCTAGGTCGGCATTGAACCTGACCAGGTAGATTGAGAGTAAGTATGTGGTGGCGAGACACATCAAGTGGACTTCATGCGACAAGTTGAGAGCGGCGACAATGAGAGGCACTCGCACCTCGAATCTGACCTAAGGGAGACACTTGGTGACTTGAGGGCCTCCCTCAAGTAGGCGATCTTGAGGGAGGTGGCCATTCTTCATCTACGGACTGCAAGTTACTACTTTGTTCTTCAGCATCGGCGGGGGATCCGGTGTTGCATTTTGGTGTTGGATGTGAGACCCTCCTACATGATAGGACACTAGTGTAGAGGTAGCGAATAGGGTTAGGAAGACCACATGAGGAAGGGGGGTGAGTTATACTTCATCTCAGAGTCCGGGCCACTCAGGTAAGTGACGTGCACCTAAGGGTTGCCTATGTGTGCGTGCATAGTATTGTTTGTCCTGATGGAGTACTTCTGGGTCTCTTTCCTACTTCTCTGAAGTCTTGGTTGTGTGCATTGGTGTGCGAACTACTTACTAACCTGATGGATGTAGAAATGAAATAACTTGCTTTGAAAGGCATACCTTTCTATAATGCTTTGTCTTTTTCATCTGTGAATGGATGTAGTCTGTAGGTTCTCTCTTGAAGTTGAATTTGTTTATGAGTATGGTAGAAACATAAAGTAGGACCTTGAGGTACTCTCCTTGGTTGGGACTTGGTCGTGACCTACCTGGGACCCATTGGGACTCAGTTGGACCGGACCCAAACAAGAAGGGGCCCGACGCAGTGTCACTCTCTTTTCTGTCTGGGATACAGTATTCTTTCTTTTTGATTAGAGCCCTCGCTGCTGAGGGGATATCAACTGAGATGCTTTGTCAGACTGAAGACACACAATCCAATGCTTGACCTGCACCTTATACGCCACTCAATTCTCCATTGCTCTATGATGTTACTTGTAGTCTGTAGGTAGCGAATAGGGTTAGGACGACCACATGAGGAAGGGGGGTGAGTTATACTTCATCTCAAAGTTCGGGCCACTCAGGTAAGTGTCGTGCACCTAAGGGTTGCCTATGTGTGAGTGCATAGTATTGTTTGTCCTGATGGAGTACTTCTGGGTCTCTTTCCTACTTCTCTGAAGTCTTGGTTGCGTGCATTGGTGTGCGAACTATTTACTAACATGATGGATGTAGAAGTGAAATATCTTGCTTTGAAAGCCATATCTTTCTACAATGTTTTGTCTTTTTCATATGTGAATGGATGTAGTCTATAGGTTCTCTCTTGAAGTTGAATTTGTTTTTGAGTATGGTAGAAACAGAAAGTAGGACCTTGAGGTACTCTTCTTGGTTGGGACGTGGTCGCGACCTACTTGGGACTCATTGGGACTCAGTTGGACTAGACCCAAACAAGAAGGGCCCCTTGGACCCAAATCTGTTGACGCAGTGTCACTCTCTTTTCTGTCTGGGATACAGTATTCTTTCTTTTTGATTAGAGCCCTCGCTGCTGAGGGGATATCGACTGAGATGCTTTGTCAGACTGAAGACACACAATCCAATGCTTGACCTGCACCTTGTACACCACTCAATTCTCCATTGCTGTATGATGTTACTTGTAGTCTGATTTGCTGTACTTTGATGGTGCTAGTTGGATTAGGCTGAAGGGGATCTTGTACTTGGTCTGACTGGACTTGAACGTGGAATCAAAACTCTGTTCTGAATGTATTGTATTTCTTTGATTTTTGGTTGTTCTAGTCCAAATATTTGCTGCTCCGGCTAGGAGTTCTATCTTCTTCTCTGTACTTTCAGTTTGTTTCTTTTGCTGAAATCCACTACATGCCCGTTGAGACGCGCGGACAAGAGAGAAGGGCGAGAGAAGCCATGGCAACAGGAGCTAGTAGTTCCGAAATGGCATCGGCCAAATTTTCTGATATGTTAAAGGCTCGCATGGATGCAGCGAGTGAGGCTGACAAACCGCTGTATGAGGCCCTCTATCAGAAAGAATTGGCTGAGGAGGAAAGGGTGGACGAGGCAAAGCGGAAAACAGCCGCTGACGAACTTGAGGCCCATTTCAAAATAGTTACAAACATGACGGATGCAGACCTTAAGAAAGATCTGGTTGTGTACGTACGTGCGCTTGTAAACTAGCATTTGCTCAGCGAGCTCCCGAGTGTGAAATCTCAACTACTCGAGGAGATGAGTCAAATGTGTACTCAAATGGCTGAAATGGCCAGATAGCATCGCGATCAGTTACAGCAAATGACAAGCATGCATCAGGCCCAAACTTCAAGTTTTCTTCCCCGTTTTACATTTGCACCCCTCCATTCTTCTCCTTTTTCTCAGTCTTCTTCGTTGAGTTTGGTGATTACTCAATCACGACCTGCGACAGGTGCAGTTCCCACTGCTGCTACAAGCGGCAGCGTAGGAAGTTCTGCAACTGCTGCAACCCTATGATCGGATCCAGCAATAGCTGCAATAGCTGGACCCAGCTATGGCAGTCCATACATGGACAAAAAGGCGGTAATGATACCGTCTAGATATGATGGCAAGGAGGCCGTAGAGTCCTGGATCATCTCCATGAGAGCCTACTTTGAGGTACAAGATCAACTTATCCGAGTGGCTTAAGGTCACTCCGACTACCACTCTCGAGGATATATTTGTGGCACAACATAAAGACCCGCATGCTGCAGTGAGAGTAAGGATAGAACTTGACGAGCTCAAGCGCAACAAGTGGCAGGGCACCATGCACAAATTGCAACTGCATGTCAGCAAGCTCTTTGCAACTCTAGGATTGGAGCTGACTACGCAATCGTGTTTGAATGTAGTTAAAGGTACGGTTCCCACTCACTTGACCAATCGCCTAGGCAGAGATTTCTTCGGGTACACGGACTGGTTTTCCTTAATGAAGGATGTAGTCAGTCTGAAGGCAGGAGACGTCCTTACCGCAGCAAGCACCAAAAAGACTTTTGTTCGCGGGCGATTTCGTGGCAGCAATTTGCTTAGCTGCGCTTTACTTGCTGGAAGGGGACGGGGAGG